TATTCATTGTAATTTTATTTTGACACTAGACACAAAATAATACGAAAAATAAAAACTAAATCAACTTTGTGCACATCTAATTTGCTTTTTTTTATTAAGAAAAAAAACAAATAATACATTTTAAAAAATGAAGATTAATTAAAATGATAAACTAAATATTAGGTTAATATTAAATTAAATGCTAAAATTAAAAAAAATTTAAATAATGAAATAAAAAATTAAAACAATTGAAATATTTTTAAATGACAAAAGCACGCAACTAAACTATTAATATTTCAAACTGTAAATGCAGAAAACTAATTCAAAATATTAAAAAATATACAATGGACACGGAAAATAATATATATTTTTGAAAACTCATAACTTGTGTACATCTCACTGGCTTCTTTTTAAATTAAGATAAAAACAAAACATAACTCTTTAAAATTGAAGATTAATTAAAATGGCACATTAAATATTAAATTAATATTAAATCAAATACTGAAAGGACTAAAAAATAATAAAAACAAACATAAAATAATGACAAAAAAATCTATTAAATAATAAATCTATTAAATAAAAATAAATTTAACCTACATTTAATTTATTAAAAAATAATCCAAAAAATTACAAACGCATGTAACTACTCTACTAAAAAGTTGACACTGAAAATATGAAAATTAAAGCCAATTCAAAGTATTAATAAACATTATAATAGTATATAAATAATACTAAATAAACACTTTTTTCAGGGCATTCAAAAGATGCATTTCATGATAAATACATTCAGACATCCAAATCACGTAAACTTAAACATTAAATTAAAATTTTAATTTAAAAACAAAATAAAACGTACATTAAATTAAAATTACGTTTCTTTTCAATTGAAATTTCAGATTCTAAATTTCATAAAAATAAACCTACATTATCTTTTATTTTGTGTCCAAAAAAAAAGAAACACAATGTACCATGGGCTGATCTTCAATAAAGGAATTGGTGCACATGTGAAGAACACGGTGAGTAAAAGAAACGACTTCCTTCCCCACACGTCTGACAGAGCACCAATCAGAGGAGCGCTTAAAAACGACAGCAGGCCCTGCGAACGAAAACACGGCATTAATGAATCATGAACTGGATTATCAGGACGTAAACATTATGATGTTACAGATGATACCTTGACCCCCTGAACCAAGCCGTTCATGAGAAACGTGTGTTTCGGGAATGTTTCATGAAGAGCCTGCAGACACATGAGACACAAAACAGCATCGGTTATGACGCCCATGCAAGGGTATCTCGAACTGCATGATCATATCACGCAATATAACAACAGAGGCATACAATGGGTTTCTAACACCCGTAACATGAAATAAACGACACCGGATATGAAGATAATATCTCGATTTAACACAAAAACAACCACAACTTACTCCCAAAGTAGGTGCAGTCAGCAAACCCCAAGCGAAGAACTCCAGAAATATGACGATGACGGCATGATAAACACTGGGGGAGCCAAAGCCTTGAGGCTGGAGAGAGAAGAGCCAGAGACGTCAACCACGGTGAAGAAACAAACCAGTATTATTACACATCCTTTAAAGCTTTGTTTTGGTTTTGACACTGAGATGACATGATCAAGGGCCCGTTTCATAAAACAAGTTTACCAAATAAGCCAGGTTTATTTAAGTTAGTCTGACTTATTGTCAATTGATGTGGTTCAAAATAAGTCAGACTAACTGAAATAAGCCTGGATTGTTTGGTAAACTTGTTTTATGAAACAGCCCCCAGGACTGTTTGGGGCCTAATCTATCAAAATAGAGCATTAGATGTTTTCGTGACCTTTTCATGCACCTGTTTTTTGAGTGCCGACCACTGCAGATTCTGGCTTATTTTGTGCTGCAGGCAAGATAAAACACACCCAAAGAGGAACCCGGGTAACTAGGTTCAAATTCAGCCCTATTACAACCTACAATGACAGCCAGTGAGCAGGACATTTGATAACATGTCTGCTTCTGTCATGGGAAAAAGGCAGTCGTTTCTGGTGAGAAGATGAAAATTTAAAGCAATGATCTGCGACTCAATGGGACTGACCTCATTTACAAATGGGAGGAGCTTATTTGAGTTTAAAGCATTTTAGACAAATTACTGACCATTGAAATATTTATTATCAATGGTTTATTTGTAAAGAAATGGCTGTTTTGAGGCAGAATTGTTATTGTTAATGGAAACTATAAAAAAATAGTTTTCAGTAATCGAAATAGAGATAAAATAAGTCAAATGAAATGAAAAACTTAAACGGAAATTCAACCGAAGTAAAATAAGCTGAAGTACTAAAATAACTAAAACTAAAGAGAAATAAAAATAAATTAAAGCTAACTATATATATATATATATATATATATATATATAAACAAGATAAATATGACAAAAGCACATAAGAAAATTATTAAAACTTAAACAAAAATTTAAAATATTGCCTTGGCAATTAACTGAAATACGATGAAGTACAAAAAGTGAAATTAAGCTAAATAGAAATGTAAAAATAGCTAAAGCACATAACTAAAGTACTAAAACTTAAAAAATTTGAAAGGTTGCATTGAGGACTAACTGAAATATAATACAAAAATTACTAAAGCTGAAAATTTTACACAAAAACTATTAAAAATGACAAAAGGGATTAACAAAATTAATACAAATACTATGTACTGAATTTTAAATTTAAAAGCTAATTCAACAAATTAATAAATATAAAGTATATAACATTATTTTCAGGATATTCAAGAGGTACATTTCATGACAAATTCATTCAGATATCCAAACCTTGTAAACTTAGACACGATTATTATGAGTTGTCTGACAGACTATATACTCAAATCACAGATATTAAGTTTCGCATATCTACTCTTACAAATCAAAACTACGGCAGTATAATGATAACATAAGATGATAATAACATTGTACTTTGATATTTATCACGGTACTGGTTTACTACCATAAAAAAAAAGGTAAAACTAGGTTTAGCAATACTAATAAATGTTTATACTGTTTTGTTTGAATGTCACCATAATAGTAAAGTAAGTTATATAAATATTTAAAGTTTTTCCCTATGTGTTTTGTATGATTACAAACAGGAGAATTTATTATATTTACAGCCATGAGTAATAACAGCTTTAAACCCATCTAATGTGTCATCAAACCACCTGTGCATTAATAAAACCACCTATATTTTTCAGATTGATGTACTGATGTGATTTATTACTCATTACAGGAAGTAAATGCTGATGTTTACAGCATTGAATGTCAGTTACACTCTTCAAATGTGTGCTCGCTTCAAACATTAACATAATACTTCTGTATACGTCTATTTAAGACTTAAACTTTCTTATCTGAGATGTTTGTGAGTGTTTGTTGTGTTTGAATCCAGCAGACACTCACCGTTCCTCCATCCTTGATGATGATCTTCTTCGCCAGTAACAAACTGCGATTCACTCGCTTCTTCTTTTTCTGGGTCATATTATCATCCTAGTTCTTCACACTAGGTTAAAATCGGCTTCGTTTTCACGCAAACGCATATGTGTGGACGTGGAGTGGGATACAGAGGAGGGAAGAGGGGGGATTTTCAGCAATTTCGGGCTGTTTTCCGTCCATTCAGTTTCGCATCATGTACACAGCAGCCATCTTCCCGAAGAGAGACGCATGGTGTGCGTCATGACGTCAGCATCATTCGATTCCGCCTGGCCACGCCCACACACTGTGCGCACACGTGGTCAAAACACGAGTTTAGAGTAATTAAAATACCTTCTTGCTTTTTCCAGTATTCTTAAAAAGTAAAGTGTATTAAAGTCTATATTTATTATATAAGCATTTCCATGTTAACTTTTCTTTTTCCTATAGCTTTTTAAACTTGATTTGATCATTTCTCTTTTTTATTTTCTTTGAAGTTCACAGAAATGACTCTATGATAATAATAATACTATAATTATAATACTATTATAATAATTATACCACTATTACTACTATTACATGTGTGTATATATAGCTCAAAGTCTGCAAAGGGGTAAATAAATGTAACAAATTTTTAAAAATGTATAATCTTTTATTGCAAAACTATACAACATTTTGTCAAACTTTGATTATTGCCTTGATCTTTTAAACAATTGAGAAGATAGTGATAAAATTACATTTTATAAAAATGCCTGTCAATTTCAGCAAGTCAAGGACAAATTTATACTCACATGCATTATGTATTAGGTATGTTACGGTCTCTGACAGACAACATGACAGACAACCACTCAGACTGCCATTTTCTGCTTTAGTCAAAACATCCGTTAGTGTGGGATTTCCATGCAGTGCGTGTACTCCCTGGACCCCTGCTTCTCAAAAGTTCAGCTGTGTATTGTGCACATTATTTTGACACTGACAGACATCAATGTCATAATATTCATATGATGTGGATTTGAAAACAGATGGATTGTTAGGTAATAAATAATAATTTATTTATTATCCGGCAAGTATTCAGTGAAGTGATTGATGCCTGTGAGTGTTATGTTAATGTTTTTGTTCTAATATTCCAACTGACAGCCACCCTAAGTTTTTGACAGACAAGATATCATGCGTGAGGGCTAAGTAATTTTGATTTTTGGGCATTATAAAACATGCTGGAGGTGTTTGGACTCCTGCTTCTCGTACGTTCTGCTGTGTATTGTGCACATTATTTTTTGACAGACATCAATGTCCTGATATTCATATGATGTGGATTTGAAAACAGATGGATTGTTAGGTAATACTCATTTATTTATTATCCGGCTAGTATTCAGTAAAGTGATTGAAATGCTTTTTGCATAGTTCATTATACTCATTTTACAGAATGAAGTTTATTTTGTGGTTTAGTTCATATTTGCATATTTTGATAAATAAACTGACTTAATTTAGTGCACTTGAACTTACAATATAGACCCCTTACAATTTTTTGGTTGTAACTTGATGTCCCTTGTGGTGCATGTCCATTAAATCACAAATGCAAAACATTAATGTTAATGAACTTTATTTTGCATTGAAAAGCATGTTTCATGACTCTGCAGTACCATGCACACCAGAATATGAATTCAGTCCCAATGACAGATCCCTTCAGGTTGAAGATTCGTGATGTTGGAAATATTTACAGGGCAGAGGTGCCTCACAGTCCTCTAAAACATATTCATATTTACAAGCTATAAACAAACAAAACAAAAGACCACAGCACATAAATACCACACACATTACAGTTTCTATCATGTAGAAGCTTTAAGAAATAAATAATAAATATGTAATGAACACCTCCATTTTTAGGTGTGGTAATGTAATGAACTTTTTTTTCTCTGCAGTCTCAGGAAATGTTCTATTTATTGCAAGAAATAATCTACTGCCAGTAGGAGTCTGACAACTACTAATAACGAAAAACTGAATTTACAGGCATGACAGGCGTCCAATGCTGCAACTTATCTCTCTTATTTTTGCACTTCTAAAACCATGTGTTGAGCCATTCACACATTGACATGCTACATTATGTATGTATGCGCCAACTGCTGGTGTGAACACTCTGCATGATTTCACATGATGATACGGCAAACCAATACGTGCCAAAAATGAGAAATGCCGTTTTCTTCTCTGAGATGTTCTTGTAGGATTGATGAATTCAGTTACATGTCAAGTGTATCCGAGGGTTATGACAGTCATGACACTGATTTTTGGCATTATGTGACTCTTGTTGTTACAGAAAACCATGACAATGGTATTAGAAAAACAACCCTCATAGAGGAAACCATGAATTTTGTATTATAGGAACAGCAAAGACCAAAAAACATGGCACCTGTGTTACAAGAACAATCCTCAGAATGGAAACCATGGCAACTATGTTATTGAAAGCAACTGTCAGACTAGAAACCATGGCAACTGTGTTATAGGTACAACTGTCAGTCTGGAAACCATGGCAATTGTGTTAAATGTGCATCCCTCAGAAAGAAAGCCGTGGCAACTGAATTACAGGAACGTGCTTCAGACTGTAAACCATAGCAACAGCATTACAGAATAACTCTCAGACTGGAAACCATGGCAATTTTGTTACAGGAACATCCCTCAGAAAGAAAACCATGGCAAATTAGTTACAGGAACATTTCTCAGGTTGGAAACCATGGCAACCATTTTACGGGAACAACCCAAAGATAAGAAACCATGACAAATCCGTTACAGAACAACTCTCAGAATGGAAACTATGGCAATTACATTAAAGAATAATTCTCAGACTGGAAACTATGTTACAGGTAAATGTGTCAGATCAGAAACCATGGCAACAGCTTTATGGAATAACTCAGATTGGAAACCATGGCAATTATGTTACACTAACATCCCTGGCAACAGAATTACAGAGCAACTCTCAGAAAGGAAACCATGGTAACTATGTTACAGGAAAATTTGTCAGACCTGAAACCATAGCAACAGCATTATGGAATATCTCTCAGATTGGAAACCATGGCAATTGTGTTACAGGAACATCCCTGGCAACAGAGTTACAGAGCAACTCTCAGAAAGAAAACCATTGTAACTATGTTACAGGAACATCTGTCAGACCAGAAACCATGGCAACAGCGTTACAGAACATCCCTCAGACTGGAAACCATGGCAATTGTGTTACAGGAACATCCCTGGCAACAGAGTTACAGAACAACTCTCAGAAAGAAAACCATTGTAACTATGTTACAGGAACATCTGTCAGACCAGAAACCATGGCAACAGCTTTATGGAATAACTCAGATTGGAAACCATGGCAATTATGTTACAGGAACATCCCTGGCAACAGCGTTACAGAACAACTCTCTAAAAGGATATCATGGCAACAGCATTACGGAATAACTCTTAGACCAGAAACCATGGCAACAGCGTTACAGAACATCCCTCAGACTGCAAACCATGGCAATTGTGTTACAGGAACATCCCTGGCAACAGCGTTACAGAACAACTCTCAAAAAGGAAACCATGGCAACAGTGTTACGAATAACTCTCAGACTGGAAACCATGGCTATTGTGTTGTTACAGGAACATTCCTCAGACTGGAAATCCTGGGAACAGCATTACAGAACAACCCTCAGCCTGGAAAATGTAACAACGTTCAGACGGGCCATTACATGCAACAGTGTCAAAAGTGTCAAATAAAAGGATGTTTACAATCTACAAAAGAAGCGTTACTATAGTAACTCTGCAGAAGATTTGTTAGTTTGATGTATTATAATATCTCATCTCTTGATGGTGCACGCAGGGAAATTATAAGGAGTGAGCAGATGTGGATGGCTGATAGAACGTTCAGGTGTGCGTTACGTTTCAGGACTGGTTTTACAGCTACACCGCAGTCCTGTTCATCATTTTCTTGTCTTTTTCTTCACGCAGTCTCTTCCAAAGTCTTTTTCACATGTTTGTATGACCCGTTCTCACTCTCTAGGTCCCTCATTCAAGTTTGCTTAGGAAGTCGAGCAGAGCACGGTGGAACTCGCGGGGTTTGTCCATGTAACAGGCATGTCGCGCTCCTGCCAACTTCACCACGGTGTGATGAGGCAGCTGAATCAGGTTCTTATGGGATTGGGCGCCCAGATTGGTGTCTAACTCTCCATATATGACCAGTGTAGGAGTCTGTCATACAGATGAGAAGTGAGAATTAAAACTGAGCATTAAAATCAAGGAATTCTTAAGTGTGAGAAGAATCGAAAAGAAATATGACACCTGGATGTCGCGGTACTGCTGTGGCGTGATGCCGCGGGTACCCACGGGGGCGATGGGCACAAAGCCGTGCAGCTGGGCGCTGTGTTTCTGGAGGAACGGCAGGGCGTAATGGCCGCTCATAGACGGGCTCAGTAACACCGGTGCTCGCACGCCCAGAGACTCCAGAAAACGCTTCAGCAGGTCCACGCGGCTCTGATCCGACTTTACCGACTCTGAGTCCGGAGAATTCCCAAAACCTGACAAGAAACAAGACGATTTAGTGATCTGCTTTATATGTTTTGAACATATAAAAATCTGCATTTTAAGAACATTAATAAAGTGAATTATAAGTACCGGGCAGGTCGAGAGCGAGGGCCTGGTACCCATTGGAAGCCAGCAGGCTGAGGGTGCCCAACTCCTCCCAAGTTTTAGAGGTGAAGGCCTGACCATGAAGAAGCACCAACTGCAGCCTGATGGAGAGGAGATAAAGTTGCTGAATCTGTACAGTTATATAAGAATAGGTCATAATACTTGTATGCAGAATTTGGTAAGTTCAAAAATTACCATAGTTACCATAGTTTTCATTAAAATACCACTGTCTATCTGTTCACCTACCTAGGCCTGTCGCAATAATCAATATATCGACTTATCGCGCAATATATGTACATGACCTCAATAATTTTTGGCGACGCAATATATCGCCCATTATATTTACTTAAAAATTTATGTCACCATGTTTTTTGCATTCCACTTGCGCCTGTGTCTTTTGCAGCTTCTCGTACATAACGTAGTCATGAGGTGCTAGTTCAAATTTAAAAAATGCTTCTACAAACAAAGTTTAATCTGAAGATATGGTTTTGTTTAGGGATCTGTGCCTTTGTGCATACGGACATCTGACTGCTAGGTAGTGATTGTGTTTTTCAGCAAAAGTGTGCACCCTTAATTTACAGAGAAAAGAAGGTCAGGGAAAAATCTGTAGATGGAAAAATCTCCATACAAGTTCTTTGTGCATTTTTCTTTTTTTCTAAAAAAGTATCTTGCAAGAGAACACAATATTTTGCAAGAGAAGCCAAAAGTAACAAGCAAAAACAAGGTTTCTCATTAAACACAACATTAAACGAGAGAATAAAAAAGTTGTGCGAGAAAAAGGGCCCGAGTTTCTCGGGGGAAAACTATATTTTGAGACAAACACAATATTTTGCAAGAGAACACAAAAGTTCTGCAAGTAAGCGCAAAGTTTCTTGGGGAAACACGATATTTGGCGAGAGACTGAAAAAGTTGTGAAAGCGAAAGCAAAGTTTCTTGGGAAAATGCAATATTTTGGGAGAAAACAAAAGCTTTGCAAGTGAATGCAAAGTTTCTCAGGGTTAGACAATATTTGCAGGTTTCTGCAAGGTTGTGCAAGCGAAGGCAAAATTTCCAGGGAAACGCAATATTTTGCAAGAGAATGCAAAGTTTCTCTGTGAACACAATATTTTACAAGAAAAGGCAAAAGATTTGCGAGCGAATGCAAAGTTTCTTCGGAATGCAATATTTTGCAAGAGAACGCAAAAGTTCTGCAAGCGAATGCAAGGTTAAATCTTTCTAAATCAATATGGGATGGGATATAATTGTGGATATGGGATATAATTGTGCAGAGAAATTAGTAAAGGATTATTCGATCATTTTAAAATGTAGGCTATAATGTTGTATTTTCCCTTACAACATTTTACCAAGTTTTACTACATATAAAACCAAAAAACATTGTTAATATTTAAACCATTGTAACCACAAATTAAAGGGTTAGTTCACCCAAAAATTCTGTCATTAATTACTCACCCTCATGTCGTTCTAAACCTGTAAGACCTTCATCTTCGGAACACAAATTAAGAAATTTTTGATGAAATCCGAGAGCTTTCTGACCCTGCATAGACAGCAACACAACTGAAATGTTCCCAGAACCACAAACGTAGTAAAGACATTGATAAAACAGTCCATGTGACATCAGTGGTTCGACTTCAATTTTGCAAAGCTACAAGAATACTTTTTGTGCGCAAAGAAAACAAAAATATCAGAAATAACTCAGATTTCATCAAAAATATCTTAATTTGTGTTCCGAAGATGAACAAGGTCTTACGGGTTTGGAACGACATGAAGGTGAGTAATTAATGACAGAATTTTCATTTTTGGGTGAACTAACCCTTTAACCATGGTTTTGCAATACTACCCATAGTTTAACCGTGGTATTTGTAGTAATACTGTGGTCATACAAATGGTAATCAATATGCCAAAAAAACATGGTTACTACACTTTTACTACAATAAAACTATGGTTAATTATTGTAAGGGCTGGTACAATGCCTTGCCCCATAGACGTAAATTCGATTTTTAATGGGTACAAACTGAAGAACGAATCAGATTTAATTCTATACAGCTTTATGATGTAAATTTGGAACGTGCCAATAATGCGCCAAAACTGATGTCTATCTATTCCCAATAGAGTCATTATATAATGGAATCAAACTCAAATTACGAAGTAACCTGACCTGGGCACTATCTGTCGCCCAGCGCTGTCCACAGGCAGAGCCTCCCTGAAGAAGAGCGGCGGGTCCCCGGGCAGCTGTCCGGTCCTGACCGTGATGTTGACGCTGTTTGGCGGCGGCGGCGGCGGAGGAGAGGCGGCGATCAGGCCCATCCGCTGCTGCACCTCCAGAGACGGCTCCATGCTCCCCTGCCGCATGGAGGGCAGCAGCAGATACAGCAGCACTGTGGCCAGCAACACCAGCCCCAAAACCACCAGACGGTTGCGGAAGAAATTCATAATCTGCGTGAAACCCCATTCAATTACAGCACATAAAACATTCACACTCGGTTTAACAAACTGACACAATGAACAACCATTAATCACAGCAGATTAAACCCCCAGACTCCATTTTAACCCCGTGGCATTTAAAAAAAAAAAAAACGAAAACATCTCAAATGTATGATTGATTACATAAATACTTGCACATTAAAACAAACTATGCATAATTTTAATTTTAAGTTGATGCATAAAAGTCTAAATAGCGTCGTTAAAATAAAGTGCGCAGACGTGCTGCTTGCAGCTGCAACCAAGATGCCGATAAACGCAAAAACATGACAGCTATGTCGTGCATTTTGTACTTACCTAAAAAGTATACGAAATACTGTGAATATCCAATAATCGATGACTGTCTGAAAGTTTGGGACTGATCATAATTCGCATGTAGTGGCAGTAGCGCAGCGTTAACGCGTCACACACAATAACAGTTCCGTGTGGAAACGGGTGAACGTGTGCGATGGTTCCGATTCTTTTGAGACGCGCTCATTCCTGTGGTTGTAAATTTGTCCTTTCTTGGAAATCTTTTAGAATTGTTGCGAAATTATATCTCATCATAATAAGACATGTTACTACACATTTGGAAATCCACCGAGCCTCTGAAGAAACATGGTGATGAAAGAAAAAAGAGAATTGAGGAACAATTGTATTTCAGTATTTCGTTCTCTAGCAAAACCTTTTGTGCGTGAATGGGGAGTTTCTCAGGGAAATATTCTCAGGTGAATATTTAGCGAGAAAATAAAAAATTTTTGTGAACAAATGCAAATGTTTTTTGGGGGAACGATATCTATCTATCTATCTATCTATCTAGCTAGCTATCTATCTATCTGCCTGCCTGCCTGCCTGCCTGCCTGCCTCTCTCTATCTATCTCTCTATCTATCTGCCTGTCTGCCTCTCTCTCTCTCTCTTTCTGTCTGTCTGTCTGTCTGTCTGTCTGTCTATCTATCTATCTATCTATCTATCTATCAGCATCTAATACTAATAGATTTAATGCTATTAAATAAGAATTACCATTTGATACTATTACTTGACTATGGTACATAAAATCACAGGGACAGCAATTGTGACGACAACAGAAAACAAGGCCATGGCATAGTTTTACTTTCTTTTCTAGTCAGATAAAGAGAAAAATAAGTGCCATTGTTCAGCAGAGCCGCGTGTAATATCGTATCCATGACGTATTGGCTTAGACATGTGGATTCCATATTGCAGTGCAATTCCCAACAGTCTGAGCCACAGATTCCAGTATTATTCACACAGCAGCAAACACACGGAAGATCCCAGAGGAAAGGCCCCGCTGGGGGTCCGAGAAGAGGGGGAGAGAATAAAAGGAGACTGGATGTCTGGTTTGAGTTATAACACAAGGCGTTCTCTGTGCTGCCAGCCCGTAATGTTCCCTTTGGCACCGTCGACTACCCCCTCAGAAGTGGAGCAGGACCTAGAAACCAAGGGCTGGAAAAAACTAGAGGAAAAGTAAACTAGCTAGTGAAGATGAGGGGAAATCGACGTTTAAAACAGATTCCTAAATAATGTCTCATCACTTTTCAATGTTTGAAGCAAAAATTTCAAAAAATTCCAGTTTAAAAAAAACAAACCCCAGTTTTTCAACATGTTTTCGGACTCTACTGGAGTTACTCTGTGAAACTACAAAATTACAAGCAAGAGATTGCTTTTAAAGGGTCATGAAACCCCAGACAGGGATGGGCAGTATTTCAAATACATGCATTTGAAATACAAAATACTATTTTGTATTTAAATACATTTAAGCTAAGTATTGTTGTATTTTCAAAATACAAAAATATTTTTTGCCAATCAACCTCTTAATTAGACTGCTGATGTCCTGGATCAACAAGTATACAAAAATACTAAATACAAAAATACTAAGATTAAATGTATTTAAATACAAAATACATTTGACTTTTTCCAAAGGTATTTAAATACAAAATACAAAATAGTATTTCAAATACATGTATTTGAAATACTGCCCATCCCTGCAGGAAATCTGCAGTCTAATAAGGAGGTTGATTGGCAAAGTACCTTATGTATTTTGAAAATACAAAAATACTAAGATTAAATGTATTTAAATGCAAAAATGTATTTAAAAACAAAATAGTATTTTGTATTTCAAATACTGCCCATCCCTGTTAAAATCTACATCGTGTTGACGTCACAATTTGTGACCTGGCAATGGACTATAGAACATCGATGACGCGTCGGTGTCTATTAAATTATTCATGAGACTGCGTGTTCTTATCCTATGAGAAGCTTTGCTTAATTATTCACAACAGCATGTGTTGGTTTGCTATGACAGACGTTTCAGACTGTGAGATGTCATCGCGTACATAAACGTTCATGGATCGAAGAAGTTTGTTTTTGCTTTGTAATAAGAGTT